TCACTTGTGCCTCAGGGCTGCAGTAACTTGCAGCAGAGAAGCACATTCGAGTTCTCATTAGCTAACAGACAGAGCTCAATGGGAGGGCACTTGCCTTGCAACAATGAGACCTTGAACTGACCCCTAGTTCTGGAAAAAAAAAAAAAAAAAAGGAGGGGGGAGTTCCCACCATCATCTTGTTCTGCTATCAACCCATCACTCTTGAGAACTAGAGTTTCCCGTTTCATGAAATAGGGCAAGGCCGCCTGTCTCCTGAGAACTATGCCACGAAGCAGCTGCAGTTTCCTGCAGTTACCTTCCAACTAGCTGCCAAATGCTAATGACTGTCATCACTGTCAGGGCTTGGGTGTCATCGTTTCCATCTTTCGAAGATGAAGGAGTGGAAGGCACAGCTCAGCCCCTAGTTTGGGCTTTCCTGCATCCTCTCTGCACCCCTCCCCCGCGCGCCCGCGCAGCCCCGTACCACGCCAGGTGGGTGAACTGAGAGTCCACAGACACTCCGAGCACCTCACAGCCCAGCTTTCGGAAGTCCTCGGCATGGTTGCTAAAAGCGATGATCTCGGTGGGGCACACGAAAGTGAAGTCCAGCGGGTAGAAAAAGAGGACCACGTACTTCCCTAGGGAAGAGGAGAACGGAATTGAGAAGCTAAGTTCCAGCCCTTTCACAGGTGGGACCTAGCCCACCTGGGCCCCCCCAGGCAGCTTCACCTCTGTAGTCGGAAAGCTTGACTTCCTTGAAGGCGCCATCCACCACCGCGGTGGCCGTGAAGTCAGGAGCCGGCTTTCCGATGTGCGCGTTGCCGGAGGCCATGACTGAAAGCAGAGATCCACGCAAGGCTGGTCAGTGCAGCAAAAGACCCTTTGTCTTGCTCTCCCAAGGTCACTCTTGGGGCCGAGCCCAGACACTGGATCCGAGAGGTGGAAGCAGCAGCACTCATACTCACCCTCCCAGAACAAGGGCTGCAAGGCCTCAGGAAAAACCGGTCCCCAAACAGGGCTCGAGTGATGGGGGTCACCACTGCCACCCGGATTATCGAGTCAGCCCAAGCGCGGGGGAAGGGACGCGAGCCCTTGGTTTCAGAAAGGGATGGCGAGGCCAAGAGCGAGGGGCTGTGAGCTCGGCGATAAGGCCTGCAAGCCAGGACTCTGGCATTGGTTCTCCACCCCCACCATCCCCACCACCCCCACCACCCCCGCCACCCCCACCACCCACCAGGACAAAGGCGGCCACCATAGAGTATGGAAAACAAAGACCGCCAGCAAAGAGGTCGTGATAGGGCCAGAGCCACACCAATGGTTCCTCCCATTCGCGTGCATCCTAGGTTTCCATACCTGCGTGGGCAAGAGCCGGACACGCGGACGACCAGACACGAGAGAAGTCAGCGAACAGAGATCTCAGAGCCAAGCGAGCCCTAGGCCCGCGAGCTTTTTATGCGCGGCCCAAACCACACGAAGCAGGGCAGGGGGAGGTGGGCGGGACAGCTCTGCGGTCGGATCCACTGCGCCTGCAGAGGGGGAGCGCGCAGACGAGTTCACGCGCTTGCACAAGGGGTGGGTGGGGTGGGGTGCCCGGGTGCCCTTGCGGAGGCCGGGATTGTCTGTGTTGTGGGCTCCGCGCGGGCCTGGGCCCCCGGAGTGCGTTGAGGTCGGTTGGAGTCCGGGCATGGCCCGGAGCCGGCTGGCTCTGTTGCTGCCTCCTCTACTGCTCCTGGGTCTGGTGTCCCCCACTCAGATCAGCCCCGAGTACCAGTATTTTGGCCAGGAGGGCGAAGGCGACACCTGGGAGCTGCTGAGGCAGCAGCGAGAAAAGGGTAAATTAGCCGGTGGCCGGAGTGGAGTTTTAAAAAGGTCCCCCCAAAAGCCTTCCTTGACCAGCTGGCTACAAACAGACCCTCCTGCGCTGACTGCCCAGTTCAGCACAGGCCATGCCCTCAGGGACTGGCCACTTTTCTCTGAGTGTGTTGGTTTCTTATCTGTGAGTTGTTTTGTTTTACTGAACTCTTTGCTCTGCAGCTTCTTTGGTCATCTGCTAATTGTTATAGACGCTTATATTCAGCACTGTTCAGGAGTTGGGCACTAGGAGACGAAAACAACCGATAAACATAGTACTAGGAAGGGTGGAGCCAGAGAAGGAAACTGGCCAGTCAGCTTGAGCAGTCAGCAGTGGTGAAGGTGGTAAAGGTGGCGGTCACCAGCATAGCCCGAGTGACTAGCAGAGGCAAAACTGCCAAGATTGGGTGGCAGTGTCCCAGGAAGAGCGAAAAGGCCTAAGCGGAGGATGGGGAGATCTGCTGAGGAGGGGCGTGAGGCACCCGCCTTGGTGAGGTCTCTTAGATGAGGAAGTTCTGACAAGGGCTGGTCGCACTAGTGGTCAGTTGGTGGAGCGCCGGCCCAGCATGCAGGAAGCCCCTTCCCCAACGCTGCATGATCCATGCACCGCGGCAGTCCACACCTGCAGTCTAGCATTTGAGAGCTGGGGTCGGGAGATCTGAAATTCGAGTCGTCTTTGGCTACCAAAGGAATTGGAAGCCAGCTTGGAGTACATGAGACTCTAGTTTTATTTTATTTTATTTTTTTTTTAAAGCAAGGAAGGAAAAGAGAAGAGTCCTGTAAAGGTGTAGGTTGGGGTTGATAGAGCACTTGACCAGAGTGTGTGAGGCCCCAGGTTAAATCTTATCTTTAGCACTATACTGAAAAACACAACAAAACAAAAAACAACGTTGTAGCTGCTTCCGAGCATAAAAATTACTTTGTTGCTACAAGGTAGCGCAGCACCAGGGCCTTTAAGTACGTTTGTCTTACGGTCTGTCAGCCCGCCAGTCAGGCGGCGGTGGGCCAGCTGCGTAGTCCCTTAGGACAAGAGTCAACTTTGGATGTCAGGTGTGAAGGACAGAGCGTCCATACTCCCAGCTGAGCAGGCTGGCATGGATTGGAGGTGTCAGTTTGCAGCTGTGGCCTGCTCACACGTGTGTGTCAGCTTGGCAGGCTGGATTGCTCTCTCTAGTCACCACCACACAGAGGCAGGAAAGTCCTCAAACAGCAGGTGTTCCTTACCTTTGTCCCTTCCTGGACAAGTCCCCTGTATGGGGGTTAACTTCCCCAACTGGGTTTTCATGTCCACTCTCCATCTGCAGTAGTGGAAGACTCAGTCCTAGGCCCGTGGGGAAAGTGGCGTTGTTTCTGCGATCTGGGCAAACAGGAACGCAGCCGTCAGGTGCTGGGCACAGCACCGGTCCCTGTGTTCATGGACCGGGAGAACCTGATCCAGCTGAGGCCCTGCCGGCAACGGGACTGCGCATCTTGCAAACCGGTGGACTGCGACTGGCGGGCCTGAGCAGAGGTGAGCCACAGAGGGGGCACAGGAAAGCCAGCCAGTGAGGACTGGCTGCCAGACCCGGGGGGAGGCCGGGAGGCAAGATGTGAGGTAGTGGCTGGCATGAGGTGAGTACTTGGGCCCAAAGTCTGCGGCTTTAGGCTGGTGGGGGAGCAGGCAGCTGACTTTGGACCCAGGAGCCTTTTTGAAAGCCAGGGAGAAAGCAGGAAATGTTGGTGGGAGTGAGCCCTGTTGGTGGTGCACACCTGTGATTCAGGTGCTCGTGACAGAGGCAGGAGGGTCAAGAGTTCAAGGTCAGCTTTGGCTACATGGCAAGGTCAGGCCATTTCAGGCTACGTGAAGCCCTGTCTTCAAAACAAAAGAAGAAAAGGAAAGGGCTGAAGAGGAGATGGTGGCCCCGGAGAGGCAAGCGATAGAGGAACCGGGACTCAGAGGATGGACCGGGACTTTGATGAGAAACAGGATTCCACACAAAAGGACAGAGTCCCGTTGATGAAGAGAACAGTGGAGGAGTGTGGTTGGAGTAGCAGAGGGGTCTGGGAGATGTGGGGTTCCCAAGACAGTGGAGAGCAGGAGAAGGGAGGAGGGATAGGAAAGGAAGCGAGAAAGAAGGCCGCATGGTGTGTGCAGACCCTCACTGGGAATCTGCTGGGGCCCGGAATCTGTGACGGTGGTGGAGAAGACTTTGCTTCAATAAGATGGTATGATGGAGCAGGTCCTGGAGGCAGCAGGGTCTCCGAGAGCTATTAACAGAGGGGTTTGGGGAAATCTGAGTCAGAAGGCCTGAGCCCTGTTGAATCTGGGACACTTAGGACTAGGAGCATAGAGTATGTGGAGAATGTGGAGTGTGTTGGCACTGGGGAGGCAGAGGCAGATGTAGCCTCTGTCAGTTCAAGGCCAATTTATGTAGTATGTAGTGAGTTCTAGGCCAGCCAGGGAGTCACAGTGAATTGCTGGGAGGCGGGGAGGGGGGATGTGTGGAGACCCAGATGTCAAACCTGGATGGCAGGTGGGAGGACCAGGACCCAGTGAGACCAAGCCTCCGAGAGTGCAATAATATTTGATCTTTTGTTATTTTGTTCTTTTCGTTTTTCAAGACAGCGTTTCTCTGTGTAGCCCTGGCTGTCCTGGAACTCAGGCTGTAGACCAGGCTGCCTCTGCCTCCCGAGTGCTGGGATGAAAGGCGTGCGCCACCGCCGCCCGGCTGATATTTGATCTATTAAGTCTCAAGAAAGGTCAGTTCAGTGTAGGCTGGTAACCCCACTTAGGAGTAGAAGGTCATCCTAGCCCACGAAGTGACTTCGAGGGAGGTATTCCGGGCTTTATCAGAAATTGTCTCAACAAACAAACAAAAAACAGTCAACTGAACTGAACTGCATCTTAATTTTCTCTTTATTTCTCTTTACACACCAGTCACTGAGGGCCTGGCTCCAGCAGCAACGGAGCGGAGTTTGCCAGGTGACCCCGCCTACCCTGGACTGCAAACCACGCCCTTAGCGGTAGCTCTCCAAGACTACAATTCCCAGAGGAGAGTACGGCAGCGGCGACAGCGTCGCGTGCGTAAACAACCACGCCGGCCGGTGCGTCGGGGGCGGGTCCTGCGCGCCGATTGGTCGGCATCGAGAGCGGCTACCGTACTCGCGGAAAACGCGCGCTGGGACCTGCGCCTGCAGTATTATTTTCTACAGCTGTTGGCTGTGGCTGAGGCGGCATGGATCTCAGCGAGCTGGAGAGGGACAATACGGGCCGCTGTCGCCTGAGCTCTCCTGTACCCGCCGTGTGCCTCAAGGACCCGTGTGCCCTGGGCGTGGATGAAGCGGGCCGGGGCCCGGTGCTTGGTGCGCCCCCAGGGGTGTAGGTTGCAGGGGAATGGGAGTGGGGATCATGCACGGCCTTGGGACCCGGGAATGATAGCGGGATGCCCTTGGGCCTTGGTGGTGATGGAACAAGGCAGACGGCTTTTAGATGTTCACTGGTTGGAACGCTGCTCTCAGAAATCTGACTTCCCTCCCAAGGCCCCATGGTCTACGCCATCTGTTACTGCCCCCTGTCCCGCCTGTCAGATCTGGAGGCTCTGAAGGTGGCAGGTAAGCCTGGGCTGAATGTCTACACTCGGGGTTCCGGGGTCTGTGCAGGAGAGCAGGTGAGATGGAGGGGGATCAGGAACCGAAAGAACCAGCGAGCTGCTCCCCCTTCTTTAACTTTCTTCGCAGACTCGAAGACCTTGACGGAGAACGAGCGGGAGAGGCTCTTTGCGAAAATGGAGGAGGACGGAGACTTTGTGGGTTGGGCTTTGGACATTCTGTCTCCAAACCTGATCTCTACCAGCATGCTTGGGCGGTGAGGGGCCCCTTCGTGGCCCGGTGGTGGGGAGCAACCAACACAGGTTGGCTGGGTTATGCATCTGGGATGGTGTTGACTAAGCTCTGTCCCTAACCACAGGGTCAAGTACAACCTCAACTCCCTGTCCCATGATACGGCTGCGGGGCTGATACAGTATGCGCTGGATCAAGGTGTGAAAGTCACCCAGGTGAGCTGTTGGGTCACAACCCTTTGGTCACCTTCTGATTAAAGGGGCTTTAAAAAAAAATTGAAGCTGGGGATGTAGTTCAGTTGGTAGATTGTTTGCCTAGTGTACATGAAGTCCCGGGCTTCTATCCCAACCTTGCATAAAGCCAGGGTAGTAGCACTTAGGATGTGGAGGCAAGGGTGAGTTGATGTCAGCCCGGACCACCTGGAACTGTGGGGTTTTTTTTTGTTTGTTTTTTTTTTTTTGTTTCTTTGTTTTAATAATGCTGGATGTAGTGGAGGAAGGAGAATTGTGACTTCAGGGCATATATGGAGACCCTCCGTGTGACTCAGGACATATATGGAGACCCTCCGTGTGACTCAGGGCATATATGGAGACCCTCCATGTGACTCAGGGCATATATAGAGACCCTCCGTGTGACTTGGGGCATATATGGAGACCCTCCGTGACTTAGTTGCTAAGTGCCTGTTGCAGAAGCGTGAGTATGAAGGCCATGGTGCACACCTTTCATCCCAGAACTAGGGAAGCAGAGACAGGCAGATCTCTTGAGTCCCAGGATAGCCATTGAAAGTGAGACCCTGTCTAAAACAAGTGTAAGGACCTTGCTTTGGATCCGTAGCACCCAGTGTAAAGCCAGGCACAGTGACACAAACCTGTCATCCCAATGCTGGGATGAGGGAAGATCTTGTGGTCTTGTTGGAATGCCAATCAAGATATAGGTTTAGTGAGAAACTCTGCCTCAAAATAAATAAGTAAATAAATCAATTAAACAAATAAATAAAAAAAATGTACATGTACATTCAAAAGTCACCCTATAGCCAGGCTACAGTAAACAGCCTGGGTGGTGGTACACACCTTTAGTCCTTGCACTCGGGAGGCAGAGGCAGGTGGATCTCTGTGAGTTCAAGGCCAGTCTGGTCTACAGAGGGAGTTCCAGGACAGCTAGGGCTACATAGAAAAACTCTGTGTGGGTGGGGTGGGCTGGGGGAAATCGGGCTAGAGAGTCTATAGCTTTGGTTGCTCTTTCAGAGGACCTGAGTTGGATTCCCAGCACCCACATGGTGGCTCAGAATAGTCTAACTCCAGTTCCAGGGCATTCCATGACTTCTTCTGGCCTCCTCAAGCAGTACACCCATACACATAGAAAATCTTTTATTTTTATTTTTTATTTATTTTTTTATTTTATGTGCATTGGTATTTTGCCATGGGTGTCAGGACCCCTGGAACTGGAGTCACAGATAGTTGTGAACTGCCATATGGGAGCTGGGAATTGAACCCAGGTCCTTTGGAAGAGTAGTCAGTACTCTTAACCACACTGAGCCATCTCTCCAGCCCTAACACATAAAATTTTTTAAAAGAAGCCGGGCGGTGGTGGCACACACCTGTAATCCCAGCACTCAGGAGGCAGAGGCAGACGGATCTCTGTGAGTTCAAGGCCAGCCTGGGCTACTAAGTGAGTCCCAGGAAAGGCGCAAAGCTACACAGAGAAACACTGTCTCGGAAAAAAAAAAAAAAAAAAAGAAAAAACAACAACAAAAATTTTAAAAGAAGTTAAAGTACATGTTGGTTATTTTTAAAAAAAAAAAATGTCAAACAATTAATTTTAAGGGATGGAGAGATGACTCTGGTTAAGAGCATTGATTATTCTTCCAGAGGAACTGAGTTCAATTCCCAGCAACACATGGTGGCTCACAACCATCTGTAGTGGGATTAGATTCCTTATTCTGGTGTATATATAAAATATATGAATAAATAAATCTTTAAAAATTTAATTTTAAAATATTTATTCATATATGGGTGTTTTGCCTACATGCATGTCTATGCATTACATGAGTGCATGGTGCCCACAGAGGCCAGAAGGAGGTGTGGGATCCCCTGGAACAGGAAACAGTTGTGAGCCACTATCTGGGCGCTTGGAACTAAAGCTGGGTCATCTGGAAGAGAGCTCTTAACTTCTGAGCCATTTCTCTAGCCCTATTAAAATCATAAAATAATATATATATATATATATATATATATATATATA